TCACTATCTTATCTGGTAGCTAGCTGATTGTGGTATTTGTGTAATGATGCATGATTTTCAGGAGTTCACACATTATAAACAAGCATCTTGAGACCATGACAGCTGCATATTGACAAGTACTGTTATTAAATCATTGAGCATTAAATTTTTAGTATATACTAGTTTTAGGTATAAATGTGCAGAAACGTCCAAGTTATGTCAAAAAAGTGTGAGTTGCCACCCACCTAATAGCCTGTGGCTTTTTGCAATAATGTTTACTTTGTCCCTGCATGACTGCATGTTGATAAAGTCAAGATAAATTGAAAAACTCATCTTATAAACACAGGGTTTGTACGGGTCCTGGAAAACCTGGAAAGTCCTGGAATTTGACTAGGGCTACTGGTCCTGGAAAGTTCTGGAAATCTGTTAAAATCAAGTAAAAAATATGAAATGCATGGCAGACAGTAAGGAGAATTAACATTGTTTTGCTTGCTTTGCTGGCTTTTCTTCCTTCTGTGATTTCTTCTTTTTTACCCAAAATAAGGGGGTGAGGAGGGGGGGGGGGGCCCACCAGGGCCCCTCCCCTAGATCTGCCACTTTATACATTGTATCCCAAACTTAAGTCTTATAAGATTTTAGACGGTATCAGGTAATAGTTATCATGTAATATCACGATTTTCATTTGAGTGTTTCAGAACCAAAACTGTTGAAACCTGCAATTACTTATTAGACTACTGAGCCAATCTCAAGCATTGTAAACATAAAAGCAAAACCAAAGTAATTGCCTGATTACTTGTGACACTCAATTGAAAACCGCTCTAAATAAATTTATTAATGACTTTAAATTGTAACTTTGTAGATCAGGCAATAATCTTTTTGTTACCAGCTGAGGATACTGATTAAGACCTGCAACTGAATTGGAGCTGCTCTGCTATAATTTTCACTAAAAATAATAAACCTGTGAAGTTAAGACAAAAAGGAAGGAAATGCGGATGTAATTTAAGTGTTTTCAAGACAGAGGTGACTAAGAATAATTTTATTTTAATTTTAATTTTTTTTTTCAGTAAAAAGTGAAATTTCAAAACCTAATGACGGAGAAGGGGATGCGATAGTTGCCATTCAAGATCAAGCTGAACCAGTCAAGGAAGGTGTGCCGGCAATATCCAGCGAAAAGAGCACCACAGTAAAAGAACCAGCTGTGAAGTCAGAGAACAAAACTAGTATGGCAAATGGAGAACATCAAAACAACAATATTGAGGACAGCAAGAATACATTGGTTGATTCAAGGGATCCATCTGTTAATGTAAAGAAGGAAAAGAAACCATCATTTGAGGAAGATGATCCATTTGCAGCTTTGGACTGGAAAGACGGTATCGCTACTCTCCCAGGTAATTAAATTTGTTTTGAACTATCATTGATATTTAATGCTCAAGGGATTAGTGATTATTTTATTTGTCTTCAAGTTTAGCAGAAATTAAAACAACTTTTTTATCCTCTTGAAAAATTCCAAATAATTTGGTAAAATTTTATTTCTGATCCATTCAAAGTCAGAGTAAAGTTACAATACATGTTACAAGTATGCAAAACATATTTTATTAAAAACTAATCTTAGACTAACTAGTNTGCCACTGTATACATTGTATCCCAAACTTAAGTCTTATAAGATTTTAGACGGTATCAGGTAATAGTTATCATGTAATATCACGATTTTCATTTGAGTGTTTCAGAACCAAAACCGTTGAAACCTGCAATTACTTATTAGACTACTCAGCCAATCTCAAGCATTGTAAATGTAAAAGCGAAACCAAAATAATTGCCTGATTACTTGTGACACTCAACTGAAAACCGCTCTAAATAAATTTATTAATGATTTTAAATTATAACTTTGTAGATCAGGTAATAATCTTTTTGTTACAAGCTGAGGATACTGATTAAGACCTGCAACTGAATTGGAGCTGCTCTGCTATAATTTTCACTAAATATAATAAACCTGTGAAGTTAAGACAAAAGGGAAGAAAATGCAGATGTAATTTAAGTGTTTTCAGGACAGAGGTGACTAAGAATAATTTAATTTTAATTTTAATTTTTTTTTTTTTCAGTAAAAAGTGAAATTTCAAAACCTAGTGAAGGAGAAGGGGATGCGATAGTTGCCATTCAAGATCAAGCTGAACCAGTCAAGGAAGCTGTGCCAGCAATATCCAGCGAAAAGAGCACTACAATAAAAGAACCAGCTGTGAGGTCAGAGAACAAAACTAGTATGGCAAATGGAGAACATCAAAACAACAATATTGAGGACAGTAAGAATACATTGGTTGATTCAAAGGATCCATCTGTTAATGTAAAGAGGGAAAAGAAACCAACGTTTGAGGAAGATGATCCATTTGCAGCTTTGGACTGGAAAGACGGTATCGCTACTCTCCCAGGTAATTAAATTTGTTTTGAACTATCATTGATATTTAATGCTCAAAGGATTTGTGTTTATTTTATTTGTCTTCAAGTTTATCAGAAATTAAACAACTTTTTTACCCTCTTGAAAAATTCCAAATAATTTGGTAAAATTTTATTTCTGATCTATTCAAAGTCAGAGTAAAGTTACAATGCATGTTACAAGTATGCAAAACATATTTTGTTAAAAACCAATCTTAGACTAACTAGTCAAGAGTGGTTTTCAATTGATTGTTACATATTATACCAGTTACTTARTGATCAGACTACTCAGCGAATTTCAAACCACAGTAGAACCAAAACAAAAACTAAAGTAATTACCTGACTTTTGACACTCAATTGAAAACCACTCTATAGTATACTTGTCCTCATAAACTGTCATAAAATTAATTAATTATTTTTCCCCAAATTGGCTAGAAAATCTTTCAGGTAGAAGTCAGAACCTCAGAGCAAAATAATACATTTTTGGGATTATTCTGATATGAAAACTTTTGTTGCTTCAATATGCTGGCAACACACTGATATATCTTCACTCTTGATTTGTGATGAGAGTAATTGATAAAAAATCAGATGACAACAAATGTGTGCCTTGTTTATTAATATTTGTCATAGTGAAGTTTGAACATCATATATCCATGTCCTCTTTAAAGCTAGATATGCTATATGCAACTGAACACCAATTTTCTGGATTTGCTTTTAAATAAACGTAGTTTATATTTTATTGACTGATTGAAATGCATGTAGTAGGGTTGTACTTTTATGTCAGATTTACCAACTCTTTCCTGGCTTCAGCTTGATTTTGTTAATTACTGCCACTGACCCAATGTGAGGGATACTAGTACAGGATTATATAATACAGTGGAACCCTGCTCTACGGACACAGCTTATAACAGACAATGTTCTTTGTTCTGACAACTAAAAAGGTTATGTATTTTCTCTGAAATTTAAGCCTGCTCAATACGGACACCCAGATAATGCAGACACTTCTGCATGTCCATACTGTCAGTGTAATGGATGCCTGTTTTGAGAGGGGTTTATTTTCATTGTGTTGATTTTGTAAAGCAAAGGAAAGGGAAAGATAACTCACTCCCTAATGTACCTCTCTCTTTTCCTTATTACTCCCCTCCAACC